CTATCCTAATAAGATAGGATAAGGGGGGTTAGAAAATTTTTCTCAGTCAGAGTACAGAATGCGAAAAAAGACTTACCCTGTACACTTCTTTACGTGATATTATTTTTCTATTTAACATTTTTAAAAGCTTCCTACTAGGGTAGGATTAAAGAAGAGTGAAATAAAAACTTGTTAGGGTAAGGTAAAGATTCAACAGGTTACGATAAAAGTGAAATTTATATCCTTCTAAAAAAAGAATCATAAAAGGTTATAACATATACAGACATAACTGAATCTATATATATATCATCCAATTTTTGATGGATCAGTATTATTAATTGATATCTGCGTGTGTAGAAATTTCTAAATTATCTTTTTTAATCCTGCACATCTGTATAGTCAAAGTCTTTTTTTTTCTTTTTTTATAAAAATTAAAAATTTTGTTTTTATTTATAGGAAAAAAAGTCGTTGTATATAATTACCTTTGGTTTTTTTCCATTGTTGATACACGTTCTTTAAGTGCTCCATTTTCATCGATATATTTGGCAATTTGTCGTTCAAGTGTATCAACATATTCTTTTTTCTTGCGACGACTTTCTTGAGCTGAAATCTAGATAAAAAAAATCCAATTCATTTTAAACACACAAAAAAAAATAATAATTTGTTTTTACTTTATTTTTAATTTTTCTTCGAATTTTTTTTAAGATTTTTTCTTCAGTTTTATTTAATGGTAATTTTGTTGGTATTTGATAACCTTCTTGTTTTATTAATTTTAATTCTTCATCAGTTAATAACAACGGACCAGATGATGGTAGTTTCTAAATACAATAATAATAATAATAATAATAAATAACAGTTAAAGAATAAAGATTAAATTTACTTCGAGATTTGTTAACATTGTCGATGAATTTTTATTTAAACTATAAGGTTGATGACGATGTAAACGATTTTTACTATAATTATTATCATGAGTTATATCCGGTGATGTTGTTGTTCGTTCATCAGGTGATTCACTTGATGTAGATGGAGTCATCGGAAGATGATCCATATCGGTATCTATAATTGATCAAGATAAACAAATTGTGTTTTTTTTTTAAATTCTTTTTACATTCACTGTCGTCCATAGGTAAATCTTCAATTGATGCTGTTGTTGGTGGTGCAGTTGTCTCTTCATTTATTGTTGGTGTTGGTAATGTATTAATTAATATTGTTGGCAAACAATTGGTTAATTGAATAAAATTTGTTTGAGATTTATTTGAATTATTAGGTGCTTGAATATAAACAACATTGCCTTTAGTTAATTGCACGACTTTCGGTAAATGTTGATTAGTGAGTTTAGTTGTATTTATAATAACCGGTAATTTTTTAGGTGGTGGAGGTGGTGGTAACGGTAGTGGTACTAATGTTGGTTCATTTTTTTCTATATTAGAGTCATTTTGAACTGGTGAAAATGGAAAATCTTCTAAGAGATCAATTGTTGAATAATCATTTGATGATGATGAGGAATCTGGTGATGGAAAATTAGCTAAGAAATTTTTTAATTCAGTTTCAAATTCTATAAAAGAAAAAGAAAATAAAAGAATTTAAAATTACAAAAATAAAAAACAAAAAATTATTTACCAGGATTGTCTGTCATATTTGATATAGTTTCTTGTTCATATTTATATGGACTTGGTATTGGTAAATCAAGATCAATGCCCCCAAGGTTATCATCATTACAGAACAATAAACTATCTGGTATTGATGGAATTTGACCATCATTGTATAAACTAAGCAACGGATCGGCAATAGGATCCATCATCATTTTAAAGTTCTATTCCCTAAAAGAGGAACAAGGGAAATATTGGTATACAAAGAACTTCCGTGTTTTTTATTTCTATTCCTCTATGACTCATGAAAAACAAGTTTTGTTCATCCAATAGGAATAAACCGAGAGGACGCTCGATAGATAAACGAAGATAAATATAAATATCAACATGGGGAAATTTTCTTTCATTTGTCATACTATTCCCAGGAAAAAAATCACAAAAAAAATCATCGTTATTGCAGTCACTTTTTTTTTCTCGTTTTCTGTAATTTATTGTTTAATGCCCAATACTATCGTTCTGTTATAAAGAAAAATAATGTCCTTGAGGAAGCTTATTGTCATATCAACAATGATAAGAAAAAAAAAACGCATCTGTGACGCGCTCAGTGATTCTAACTTATGATTTTGATTTACGAACTTCAGATAACCTTCATTACGGGTGACTATCGGTTTTATTTTACGTAGAATGTATACGTTTTTTCATAGCAACAAAGAATTGATAATATTTTTTCTTGTTGTTATTTTTTTATTTTGAGACGAAGTGCTTACCGTTTTAGATGAAGAAAAGAAACAGCTGCAGCTAGTGTCGGCAGGCGAATGTATAAGACGTCATCAAGTGATGATGGTTTTTTTTTAAATATGCGGGTTTCTTTTTTTTGTCCTGCCACGTTAGCTGTTACTCAAAAGGAATACAGAGTGACTCAAATTTGTCTTGTATTTATGATGAAATAAAACTCTAAACCATTGACCAAGAAAAAATTTCATTAAATCACTCTACTAACTTATCTCAATCGAAGGCTATTTTACCTGTATCATCCACGTATCAACAGAATAATATTATTTTAATATTTTTCGGTTTTTCTTCTTAGTATTACTAGTAAACACGAAAAACAAAGAAAAGAAAAAGCCTGACGAAAAAAAAAAGTACTACCGAGTAATAAGTAGAAAAAAAACGTCCCTGATAAACGAATGGCGACATGATTTATAAAATGAATGCACAAAAGCGACACATTGCGACTATCAACAAAAAAAAAACATAGACTACGCAATTTAATAAAAAAAAACCTTAAAAAATTAGCTCTTTTTTTAAAAGAAAAACAAGAAAAAACGATGTACCTATTTTCATTGTATATGTATGCTTATTGTATGATCGTTCTTTAGATTGCACGATTGAATCTGTTTGATTAAGCTCACTTTCATTGCGTTGGTTGAACGTGACCCGTTCATACTTGTCATAGACAATGTGTTTTAAATAAACATAACCTTTATATTCAATGTGATCTGTTTTTGTTTAGATTTTTTTTTTGCCTTTATATTCTCATATCATGGCCTTCTGGGATCTAACTGATAGTCAACGTATGGGTGCTGGATTAATTGGTTTTGCATTTTTTTTTATTTTACTTGGTTTTGCTCTATTTTTTGATCGAGCTTTATTAGCACTTGGTAATATATTTCTTATTGTTGGTGTTATTCTTCTTTTGGTATGTAGTATATTTTTGAAAATAAAAAAAAAACATGCTGTTATTATTATTTTTTTTTTTCATCTAGGGAATCGGTAGAGCACGAACATTTTTTGTTCAACCAGATCGTTTAACTGGCTCGGCTTGTTTTTTTGCTGGTATTGCTTTACTTCTTCTTCGTTGGCCAATTGTTGGTGTTATACTTGAAATAATCGGATTTTATAAGCTATTTGGTGGATTTATACCTGTTATCATATCAGTTCTTCGATCTATTCCGGGTTTTGGTTTCGTACTTTCTTTACCATATATTTCAACATTGATTAATAAATTAGAAGGTACTGACAATAAAAAATCAACAACCAAAAAACATGTTGTAACAACTAATCCAGCTAGACCTGTTAATATTGGTCAAGAACTTAGTCATCGAAATATCAAATGAAATTTTTATTGTTAAACGTTTTGTAGTTATTTTGTTTCTTTTTTTTTTGTTGAAAAGATATTTTATGAAAACAGATATTATATTCTAGAAGAAAATAAAGTTGAAAAGAACTTCTTGATTAAGTGGATTATTTGAAAATACACAACAAAAGGAAATTAATCGTGTAGGAAGTAATTTAGAATAATGACTAACATCATTTTGTTCTGTTTTAAAGTAAAATATTTGTCTTAAAAAGATGAGATAAAAAAATCAATTTATGATAGATTGTTGCTATAGTCTGAATAAAAATACTTTTTTTTTTAAATAGATTTCGTATAAGTAAATAAATGATGATATATTGAATATATTCTGTCTTTATTGAATGCATCTAATGATATTGAATTGATTCAACTACAATCTACATGAGAAAAAAATTTTTTTTTCTATGATATACTATGTCGTGTAGTCAATAGACGTATTACACTAATTGAAAGACAACATCAACATTCACATATTCCACTACTAAATAATGTATTATTCATCATAATAATACGCCGTTCATTGTACGAAAACTAAATGAATGTGATCCATAGAAAAGAATCGGTCAAAAAAAAGTAATACAATAAAAAGTGATCTAATCATGCAACATTTATTGATTAATATCAAGTATTATTCATCTCTTTGAAATAAATTTGATGGACAAATTTGGATTCTGATTATTATTGCTTGGATATAGATCGAAGACACTATCAATAGTTAAATAACTAATTGAAGAAGTTATGCATTCGTTTGTTTTTCTTCTATATTGGATTTACTTTTGGATGTCTTTTGTGACTACATAATAAGATTCAATTTGAAAAACATGAAAATAGCAATATGATCAACCATGATTTCATCATACATATTTTTATTATCATCATGAAGAAAATCTAGAGGTGAAAAAAACATAAGTTAACTTCTCATAGTTCAAAATTTCAGGTTTGACGTACCATAATAACGTTTTTTTCTTGATAACAACGTAAAAAAAATATGCTTCTTGGCAACTACTATTAAATTGTTAAACCTAATCAATAATCATCTTACTTATTGTAAACAGATTTTCAACCAATCTATTAAGATATTGTTAGATTGTCATGATATCTTCACCTATCATGATGACATAACTATTTTGTACGAACTTTTAGTCTCGTGGATGAGTATATCTTATCTTCGTTATATTTTTCTTTTTGAAGATCTTTAGAAGATGATGTGATAGAATATTTATCTATCTATATATATATATGTATTTCAAGTTTCGTTTATAATAGGCCTTTTTGAATCTAGTAAAAAAAACAATATGGAAGATCAAAGTGATGTAAAAAAGCCATTATTACCACCAACTCTACCTCGTTGGTGGCGTGTATTACCACCTCTAGCTCTAATAATGATGATAGCTGCCATGGATAATTTAATTATAAATGATTTTATTGAATATCGTTATACGAATTTATATGAATTAAATTCTTCATCAACACAAAATAATCATGAGCTATGTTTAAATGCTAGTCGAGTATCGCATAATTCTACGTCTTCAATATTAACAACAACATCAAAATATCCTATATCAACGACAATGTCACCGAGTCAAATAATTCAAGAATCAACTGCACGTTTAAATGTTATTCTATCACTTGCTGCAACTCTCCCTGCTATTTTAACATCAATTTTTCTTGGTGCTAATTGTGATCGAATTGGACGAAAACCTTTAATTGCTTTACCATTTATTGGTAAAAGTATACGTTTTTTCATTTTAACAGCTGTTGCTTATTATGATCTACCGAATATATGGATTATTCTGTCAACTATGGTTGATGGTCTTTTCGGAACAACAGCTCTAACTATTTTAAGTTCATTTGCTTATGTAACTGATTGTACAAATGAAAAACTACGTACATCAGGTATTATAATTACAGACGTTTGTATTGCTTCTAGTCGACTTTTACCATTAATTACAATGGGAATATATTTACAACATCCAAGATATGTTCAATCAATGATATTTACGTTATTATTAAGTCTAAGTGGTTTTGTTTTTTGTATTTTTCTCCAGCCAGAATCAAATTTGAATATTCAGCATTTAAATATCTTTCAACAATTGAAAAAATGTGAATTTAAAGCAATAACAAAAATCTTCCGAGTGTTTTTTGTTAAACGTCAAGGACATAAACAAAGATCATTATTAATGTTAGTTAGTATTCATCTACTTTTAATTATTATGATATGTGGAAGTCTAGCTATGTATTATCTTTATTTATATGGTGTGCCATTTTGTTTTGATTCATTTAGTGTTAGTTTAAATAGCTCAGTACAAACAGCTGCTACTATTTTATTAACTATACCATTTGCAATATTTCTTGCAAAACACACTGATCATTTGGTGTTGCCAGCACTTGGCTGTTTAGCTCTCATGGTACAATTTGTTTTATTTGCAACAACTCAACAAAAGTGGATTCTTTATTTAGCTGTTGGTATCGGTAGTGTATTTACTGTATTAGTACCAATAATACGTTCACGTATTACAAAATTAGTTGAACCCGATGAATATGCTGTAGTTTTTATACTTGCTAGTGTATTCGAATCAGGTGGTTATTATGCAATTAGTGCATTAACAAATGAAATTTATCAAATATCATTAACATTTTATCCAGGTCTTGTTTATTTTTGTCTCACAATAATTGGTGTCATAGCAATTCTTGTGATGTTGTATGTATAGGAATTTTTATTGATAGAAAAAAAACAATACATTGATTCGTTTTTCTTTAATTTAGAGTTTTATACATTTTGGAATATCGGTCATCAGATATGAAGAAAGGTTCAAGTTTAAACGAATAGTTTATTGAAAGATTTCGTTCATTGTTTTTTAAACTGTAAATAAATGAAAAAGAAATTATGAATTGTCGTAATGTTACGGTATGTAACATGAGCAAACAAAGTGAATGACAGAAATCTTAACTTCTATTAATGATTCTTATCATAGATTGTGATAAATAAAACTGTCTGTCATAGTGATGAGACTACTTTTCTCTTTGTGGAATTCAATGCTTCATAAAAATTATTCTTCATACAATAACATTCTAAGATTTGTTCATTTATTTAGATTCATGACTAATGAATCCTTAATTACTAAATTAAGGAATTCAAAGAACTGTATCAGAAACATGAAATTATAAGGTTACATGTACAAAAGTTAAAAACGTTGGAAGCTTAGATTAATTTTATAGTAAAGTAGTTGATTGTATTTTAGTAGTATTTTTCAATCTATAATGTATTTCAATCAATTTATGCATTTAAAACTTATAGACTTTTAATGTTTCATTTCCGGATCGGTCACTTCATTGTTTATGACATTGAATGGCGTCAGTTGTCAGACATGAGACGTTAACTGTATAATACATAATTGCATTTATGGATGTGTTGATACATAATAACAACAAACCTTAACTTTGTGACCTCGAAAAACAAAATTAAGATTAATGAAGTTTAGATATATTTTCATAGATTTTTCTTTGACAACAATAATAGCTTTTGTATAAAAAATTTTAAATAAAAACTGAATATACCTTCATCAAGAATGAAAAGAAAAGAAAAGAAAAATTCATTCGTCAATCTCTAATTGCTATAAAACTAGTTCGCATGGGGAGTCATCAACGGAAGAAGGAAAGACTACGGAGACTTTTACTACCAGTTGCCATGAAATTTACTTGCTAATTATTATAAATTGTTCACTTTTAAATATTTGAATTTATTTTATAAGTATTCATTATTCGTTTTCTATGAATGTTAAATATGGAAATTATAAGAACTCTTAAAATTTCTTATTGAAAATATTTTTCTAATATAATCTAACTTAATTCTTTTAATAAATTGTTTTTGTTTTTTAGTTTATACAAATTCTACTAGTCAATTGTTGAATAATTCCGTAAAGAATAAGTCAAATTTCAATTAGACAATAAATCATGCAGAAGGAATTCAAATGATTATTATTCAACACATTATCAAGAGTTACCTGGAATAACATGATAGAAAGTTAATAAAGCGAAAACTTCTTCCGTATTTCTTTTGTTATTTACCTATTATTAACAACTGAAGTGTTTTTTCTCTTATTCCTTTACTTCTATTGATGATCATAGCAATGTTAGAGAACTCTCTGCTTTTCTTTAGCACATCGTCTTCTTTTTTCTTTTTTTTTTTATTTATTCAGCGATTGTTGTTGTTTTTGTCTGTTAAAAAGAAAGACATGTTTTATATGAAAGATTTTTTTTCTCTTCTTTCTTTATATAGAATAATAATGTTATATCTTATTTCCATTAGAGTGAGTCTTATTTCAATCAATAGAAAGACGAAAACAACGAAGACGTTTCTTTTTTTTTGTTATCTTACTTGTCAATATGATTGAATTCTTTCGTCGAGAGCTTTTTTTAGAGATAAATATCTGTCATCATCAATGTCAGATATAACTATATCTAGTCTGCCATTGGCATATTCTTCATTTATAAATAATTTTTTTTATTCATTTTAAGGTAAATAATTATTGATGATATAGGGAAACTTTTCTTTTTTTCTTTCTTTTATTCAATATTTTACTCATCTGAACATTAAAGTATACAGAAAAAGACAAGTTGTGCTTCATGGAGCAAGAAAATTATTTAGTCAAGCTGTTTGTAACTATGATGATAGAGGTATCTTGAGTAAAAGTCTTACAAGAATTCTATTATGGAATAAGTGACAAAATAAAAAGGATAAAGAAGAAAAAAAAGGGGTCGATCTATTTGTAGCTCACATCTTTTTTCTTCGCATTCGAGTGTGGACGCATAAGTAAGCGTCGATATATATGTGTGTTGACATCAGACGTAATTGCTTTAGCCTGTATGTTTGTTACGAACGAAAGCACACATCATCACCATCATCATCACCATCATTCGGCTTCTTTTATCTCTTTAATTTATCCCTCTACTAGTTATTGCCTCAAGCAGATTTTGGAAAAAAACATGGTTTTGTATCATTATCTTTCTATCCTAGATTTCTAACATCATACATTTTTAAGGCATCTTAATGCCATTGTGCTTTTTTTATCATCATTGATCCGCTATTTCCTATCAAAAAGTGTGAACGTTCTTGATTGTTTTGATGATGCAAGTGCTATGGTTGATCAACACACTTGAAGACGAATAGGCGTAGGCTCATGTCTCAGACAATCAACTTCTGTTGTTGTATTCAATAGGAGTCCTAACTTGAAAACATTTTTAGCAATATATATATATATATATGAACGAGTAAAAGAGAATCATCAGCATTTTTCTATGTCAAGCAGAACGAGCGTTTGCACGCTTACTACTATTCTGTCGTGCTCAATTATGTGCAGCACAATGTGCAGATGTATAAATAGTATAGAGAAGAAAAAAAAGAAAAGACAGAAGAAAAGAGAAAAAAAATGAGAGAACCCATTTCTCTCGCGTAACACTAATTATTAATATGGGAGACAGACAGTAGAGTCGGAACAACCACTGCGGAGAAGAAAATCAAAGAAGAAAACGAAGAAGAAGAAAATGTAATAGATTTTCAGCAAGCGAAGAAACAAGAAAAATCTCATCGAATGCAAGTAACAGAATAGTAGTATTGATGGTCTCATCTATCGTATTTGTGGGCTATTTAGGCGATCAACTTCAGTGTGTATCAGAAAGAATGAGGGAACGAGAAAGAAAGCGAACATATGGAAAAGAGAGGCTATTGCATTCTGTATCCGTTATGGCAGCATCCCAGATCATAATCAATTCTGATCTGATATAGACAACGATAGAAGGAATCTCTTTCTCTAGATGTGTTCGACGCGTGCGTCCTCATTGTTCATACGCAATTTGTACCTACGCATTTTCTTCTCGTCTGTTTCTTGCTCTCTCTCTCTCTCCCTTTCCCTGTCTCTTTCTCTAGCTCTTTACATCTATGCGTCGTTGTCGAAGACGTATCACATCCTATTGTGTCTATTTTCCATATACAAAGCAACTACCATAGAAAATTTTTCTCTTTTTCTACTGTTGCGTCGAGTTCGATGTATTAATATCAATGCATAGATATCAAGTTGTTGTCTTCCATGAATGAATGGCTATGAGTATATCTACAAACAATGTTGTACAAAGGTATAGACAAAAAAAGAAGAGTTTTAATAGAAAGTTAGAGAACTCTTACAATTGTATAAAAATGACACATACTCGATCATTCTTTTCTCATCGACTTCTTCCATTTCCTTTTTTGTTTGATGACATCTAAAAAAAATCATCTACTTATGATAGTACCATCGATATATGTCAACCTTCGACTACATATCTGTCCCATTAGAAAGATCAAACGAGGTGGAAAAGAAAAAAAAGAAAAGAAAAATGCAATTATGTATTATAAGCTGATTTTCATCTATCACCTTATTCAGAATCGATATGTAACAGTCTTTTCTCGTTTTTTTTTAATCTAGTTAATGAATGAGACCAGTTGTCAAAACATTCTTCGATCGTAGTTTCATTCCTTCTTTTGTTATGCTAGTTCTAGTAACAGTACATATAAGCCACAAGTGATGGCATCAACAACAACAACGTCAACATCAACATTAACAAAAAAAGAATCGTCTCCACCAACATCAACAGCTAATACTTATGTTCGATGTCTTCCACATCCGCCTACATATCATTTAACAATTGCTGATTTATTTGATACTTCAGCTGGTGGTGGCAAACCTCGACTTGAACGTCTTCGTGAACATCTAATTGCTGAAGGACGTCTTGAAGAAGATGCTGCATTGATGATTATTGAATATGGAGAACATTTATTACGTTCCGAAAATACATTAATCGATTTAGAAGCTCCAATAACTGGTAAAAATTATGTCAACAAAAGAAAAAGAATTTATTTTTTTTATTCAATAATTCTTCTATTTAGTGTGTGGTGATATTCACGGACAATTCTATGATCTTATGAAATTACTTGAAGTTGGGGGTGAGTAATCTATTTTTAACTTTATGTCAATCGAATTATAACAAGAAAAAAAAACAAAGGTTCTTACTTTTCCGGATAACGCTAAACTGTCAAAAATAATTTATATATTAAAAGATTGTCTCATTCTTTTCTTTGTTCTTTTCATCAAGGTCCACCAGCTACTACACGTTATTTATTTATGGGTGATTATGTTGACCGAGGTTATTTTTCCATTGAATGTGTTCTTTACTTATGGGCGCTTAAAATTCATTATCCAACAACATTTTTTCTACTTCGTGGAAATCATGAATGTCGACATTTAACTGAATATTTTACCTTTAAAAGTGAATGTAAGCTTGTTTTTCTTATTTATAATTACATTTCAATCTTTATTGTTAAAGGTAAAATTAAATATACAGAACGAGTTTATGATGCATGTATGCGTGCATTTGATTGTTTACCATTAGCTGCTCTTATAGATAAACAGTTCTTTTGTGTTCATGGTAAGTTATATTTGAATGAAAAGTTTGTTTTTCTTAAATAAAACAAAAATATAAAATATTTCAATAGGTGGTCTTTCACCAGAAATTCATACATTAGATGATATTAAAAAATTAGATCGTTTTAAAGAACCACCGCCATATGGTCCAATGTGTGATTTATTATGGAGTGATCCCGTTGAAGATTATGGACATGAAAAATCTCATGATGAAAAATATTTATTTAATGCAACACGTGGTTGTTCATATTTTT